TCACTCGCTCAATCGTTAATTCTCGTACTCCTTTCAGTCCGAAGTGTGCTCGCGTCATTTTCTCCCAGTGATTCTTCAATTTCTGTTAGCTCTTCAGCGCGAGAAGTTACGCGAGTGCAACGCGGAAGCTGCGTCCGCTTCTCGCGGCGGCCGCTAAGAACGTTTCAGGGAGGAAACGAATCTCTTCTTCGTTCTGATCGACGACGACGTTCTTTTTGCACGTCAAATACTTGAAGACGATGCTCTCCTTGGCCCGGTGCACCAAGGTTCATTTTAGCGGAACGTACACAAATATTTAAGGTACGGGGTCCACTTCGGCAGGAGACTCTCGGGAGTTTAAAGTTAATCCTGCGATGTGAAACAAGTTCGCTTCTCCGCCCGCCCCGACCGTTTGTGCAAGTCGGAATTAAAGTTTCTTTTCTGCTGCCGTCCCTTACGCGAAAGGAGTTTTCTCGGGAAAATTTCTGCGATGCCATCATGGACCGACGAGACGATCGCAAACATCTACCGGCATGATCAAGACGGCGGATGATCATGATCGCCAAGTTATGACATATCGTATTGGCTTTAGTGCCTCGTGTATGCGCGAATATACACAATCTCCCCCCCCCCTCCTTCCTTCTCTCTCTCTTTTTCTCTGAGAAGTTACTCGAATAGAAGTTATCGAAGGGATAATTCCATCAAAAAACGATAAATTTCGATTATATTGTCGCTTCCATGCGGCAGCGGTGAAATGCGGCGAGGCGATGATGTAATAGCGGAACTTTAAATAGGGTTAAGAGAGTCGGCAGTGTTGATACTTCACGACGACGATATAATGCCATTGGTACAATTGTCTGTAATAATTTAACGTCTCTGCGAAGAATTGCTGGCGGTGAAAAGTTCTCGGAAGTATTCATGAAATTTTTGGACTTGGTGCAACTTCGTGGTCGATTATAGTCTTCTATCTTGGTCAGTTTCGAGATTTGTGACTTTTGCGATCTAAAATCTCGGAATTCTACGAAATTTTGAAAAATTCGTGGAGGAAAATATCAGGAAATATTAAAAAATCCCGGAAATATCTACGATTCGAGACGAAAATTCTTGGAATTTTTGTTAGTGTCGCCTCCTTGCCAGTTATGTTCTTCTGATACTTTTTGATTTTTCGAAATATACTATACATAGATTTTTAAAATTCAGATTCGGGAATTCCCGAAAATGTTAATAAAATTCTTGGAATTTTTAATAGTGCGACCTCCTCGTCGGTCATGTTCTAATATTTTCTCGATTTTGTGAGTTATAGATTTCAGAAATTTAAATTTTTGAAAAACTCTTGGAATTTTTGGTAGTGCAACCTCCCTGCCGGTCATGTTCTTCTGATACTTTTTCGATTTTGCGGAATATAGATTTCAAACTCTCGGGAATTTTTGAAATTTTTGATAGTGCGACTTCCTCGGCGGTCTTCTGCTCCTGAAACTTTATCGACTTCCGTGGATTTTTGCATAAATATGTTCAAATTTAAAACTTTAGGAATTGCGATTCATCCAATATTTATTGTTAATAGATAAAAATGAGACGGACGCGTCAAGCAGTATTCATTGTCGATATCTCGAATGTAAGTCGCCATTTCCTAGTGAGCTTGTGCATTAGATTAACAGAACAAACGGAACAAATGAAACAAATGAATTTTGCATAAACGTACGTGCTTTCTAGCTAAATTAAATCGGATCAATTATTGATCTTCATAAATCTGCCACGCCATTTAAAGACTGACTTACGTCGTAACGCTGAAAGAGACACGTACCTCCCGGAGACGTTACCGGTCGAACGAATTAATGCACCTCGTACTTGAGCAACCCCCTTGCTTTCCGCATACGTGTCCGCGCCGCGGGCGGAATGAATTCCGCAATAAATTTCTGCAAAACGCACGTTGATTCCCCCTCGACCCCCCCGTGGCTCATGAATAACGCGCCGAAAGATAGCCCTCGTCTGAGGGCTAATCTCGCGGCGGTTTCGCTGCCGTTGCTGGAAAACGACACACACGGAACTCGCAACGGTGCAACGGTGCAGCGCAGCAGCGTAACCAACATTCAGGTCACTCTCGCCCGCCCCGCGGCTCCTCCTCCCGCCCTTTCCGCCCCTGTCTGCGGAGGAACTTCAAAGGATCGATCTTGATTACCTTGCTCTGGTGACGGCGTTCACCCCGGAATAATAAATTGCTCTATCTTTACCTCTACGCGCTGACATTAATAATAATTGACAATTAATAATGAAAGAAGAATGCTGATTATCGGAGTAAATTACAGAAAAGTTTGTTTTTTTTTCAAGATGATGAGACGCATAATATAAATTGTGCATTTTAATTTTCAACGTTGTCGCCCCGATTGAAAATCACATCTCTACTTCCCGGAGCCGAGGACCGTTAGCTACGCCATTGGTGCAGCGGATATAAACGTGCCTGCGGGATAAAATTAATGCACCCGTGTCGCTTTGGCCCCTTCGGTTGCCAGGGAAATCAACCGTATATCGCGGAGACGATCCGCCACCCCGTCGAGATTTCGTTAACTGTCCCCGAGGCTGCGAGACACGGAGCCCGCGAGCTGTGATTTTTCACGAGGCCAGAAGTGATGGCTGATTGAATTCATCTCGAAAAAAGTGTAGTCCTCATTTGTATAACAATGAAGGTTTTATCGAAGAGAAAGAGGGAGAGAGAGAGGGGAGGAGTTTATATAAAGTTATAACATTTTATATATCTAGAAGAGATCGCGCATCTAATCTTTCAAATTGACGAGTGCGTTATAAATGTACTCTTACCCCTCCGTCCCCGTCTGCCCACGGAGATGAGAATTTTTCGAAAAGCGCCTCTCGCGCGTCCCAAGTAAAACCTCCGTCCCGAAATAATGTACACGTGCCCGCACACAATGGATACGCTAATTTCGCTTTACAATGGAGTTCACGACATCGCATGAATCATTGCGCGGCGACAAAACCACGTTGTTGCAATAGTTTCGCGATAGCTCGTCGCGAGTGTCTCGCAGCAAAACTCTGCGCCGCAATACGAATTGAATGTCAAGGATCCGTCGAGGAACGAGTTATTGGACTTATCTCCGATAAGTAATAAAACTCAGCTCGTGGTAGCGTAATCTTGCAAAAAAAAATGGGTTTTTCAAGCACTGAAAATTTAACCGCCGTCTAGTAGTCAATGCCTCCCAGTCTCAAGCGAAAGGTGTCGTTTATCGTTATTAAATAGAAAAGAAAAAGAAAAACGTAGCAAAGTATAATAAATGCGAGAGATAGTGTTAAAAAAAAGCCCGAGATCGGGGGATTATTGCAATTGCCTCTAGCGGTAAATCGACCGAATGGGGGGAGGTAGGCGATCCTCAAAGCGCTAATAACCGTTCTCGTCCCCGCGTGTGGTGAAACGTCAAATCGGAGTGGGCCAATCGAGGCGTGGTCCCTCCGAGGGAGCGCGTCCCGCACAAGTAGATCCGGCGGCGTTTGAGAAAATCGAATTTTCCGCACGACGTGACCCTCCGCCGGGGAGGAAGTTCCCCGGCCTCAAGGTCGCCGTGTGTGCCATGCAGGCCGACTTATTTTCCGGCTTGGCGGCGAAGCGAGAGGGAGGGTACTCTGGGGGGGAAAAAAAAGACAGTTAGCAACCCATTTTGGGGCCCACAATTAGTAATCGAATAATTTGGATTGTTCGCAACTCTACTCTGGGAAAAATTTAGACCGTTTTTTTTGTAGTTAAGGGGATGCTGGAGTGATTCTGCACTTTTGCACCTTTCTAACCTAAAAACTGTCAGTTCACGGAAACATTTGTGTAATATACAAATTAAATGGCTTACGTGTACAGATCGAAAGCAGCTTGCTATTCCGGCCAAATGAAAGAACAATATGGTATCACTGAAACTAAGTTTGTAAGTCTAATAAAAAATAATAGTGAGCAACACACCTACTACATGTACTGTATGTATGTGTTGCTCACTATTATTTTTTATTAGACTTACAAACTTAGTTTCAGTGATGTCATATTGTTCTTTAATTTAGCCGGAATAGCAAGCTGCTTTCGATCATCTGTACACGTGCCATTTAATTTGTGTATTACACAAATCTTTCCACGAAACAGACAGTTTTAAGTGCAGAAGGTGCGAAAGTGCAGAATCACTCCAGCATCCCCTTAAGCAACTTAACATTTCGGTGCGTTACTGAATATCGACAGATTGAGAGAATGGATTAGTATTACTTAAAAATCTTGGATATAGATAGAATAGCTGATTGCGATTTTTAGTTACGCGGGGTAAAATTCGTAAAAGATTAGAGTTACGAACAATCGAAATAATTCGATTACTAATTGCGGGCCCCAAAATGGGTTGCTAACTTGCTAACTGTCTTCTTTCTCCCAGAGTGGACGGATCCTTTAGCGTTTCGGGCGGCCGAGAGTGGCGGCAGGGTCCATTTGTAAGGGCTCCCACGGGGATCGATCTGTACTTCTTCAAGGCTTCGAGGGCATCGTCGCGTCCGGGCTCTTTCTGAGACATCGGCAGCGCGGAGAAATCGAAGACGCTCCTCTGGACCTGCTATGATCGAGATGCGAACTCGTAGGCGGATATCGAATGAGTTTTCACGTTTCCGGCGCGGGGCATTTTCTAAAAGTTACAAGCATTAAAAACTAATCGAGAGGAAGGAAGACAATTGTGTCTTGGGCGGATTAAGCGGCGGGAATACAATTGTCCGGTAAAACTTTGTCGTATCGCACCCGATTTCAAGCGGCACTTTCAATTCTACGTTATCAGGCATCGCGGTTTAAAGAATCGAAGGGAAATCGAGCTTTGTGCTTTTGCATAAAGAATTCGGCGACGAGTAAATTTGGGAACTTGCTCCTTCTAAAACACCGTGGACAAACGTCCCGTCCTTCCATTGTAACAACTTAATGGATTTATTGTAATTGCAAGTGGAACAGTAATGGAAATTACTTTCGCGCGCTGAGTCAACTAATTAAGGGTCTACTCTCTTGGAAGGGTGTACTGAGGAAAGATGACGGGAAGTAGTAACAACGAGATGGGCCAGGGGGTGACCTCGGGAGTTCGAGGCGATGGCGGGAAGCACACGGTTCACTGGTTCCGTAAGGGACTCCGGCTGCACGACAACCCCTCGCTGAAGGAGGGTCTCGCGGGGGCGTCCACTTTCCGGTGCGTCTTCGTCCTGGACCCCTGGTTCGCCGGAAGTACCAACGTCGGCATCAATAAATGGAGGTGAGCGCCCGCGACGTAGCGAGATCGATGCGGCTCTGAAAGTGAAATAACTCTCCCGCGCCGTTCCTTCCGTATCGTTGTTAACAAACGTTGCGACCAAAAAAATGCTTTCTCCCGCAAACAATTCATTTTGTTTCACTTCATTATTTTATTCTCCTCCTATTTCTCGGCTTTTTAAGTGTTGTGAGCACGCGCCACAAAAATATTCCAATATTTTCGCGCGAGGGAATCGTCGCCGCGAATGATGGCGATATATCAAGCTTTCCTTTCGCGTACTACGTTTAGACGATATTGCGGCGTAGAGGGTTTACGATTATTTAATTCGTCGATAATGGCGAGTTTGTTCCGCAAACGGCGCCGTTGATCTCCGTTGCATCGCGTAATCTGGATGCATTACTGCGACGGACATTCGAGCGCGGCTCTCAGTCGTCGATCATTTGTCATGTTGATTAAGCGTTATGTAACCGTTTCCTAAGCGATCGCTTAGATGTTGTCGATAATCCTACTGAATCACGGTTGACAAGGAGGATATTAGCGGCGACATTGACTAAAAATGAGTCAACGGCAAATGTGGACGCGCGTGTTCTTATAACACGTTGCTTTTTCCCCACACGGAGAGACCGATTTGGTTACCACGTGTCTAATTAGGGTTGGCACAACCCCAATAAATAATAATATTTGGGACAGCTACAGCTGTGTGATTGTCACACCCACATTGGTATGATAAGTAGTGGAGGCAATTATATGCGTTTTGTGCAGCAAACTTAGTGAATGTTGCAACGCAAAACAAGGTGGATGCCCCTCTACTATTTATACGGCAACATTTTTATTTTAGTTATTTTTGCCTTAGCCGGTCTTTCCGTGCAATTACTATAAAAGCAATAAATTTAGAGTATGAAGTATTGAGACGCTAACGCCCCGTCACGGCCCTTTAGTCCTTTGTTCCTTCACATTTGAGCCATACGAATTTTAATTCACTATAAAAGCGCTACATCCAATCGCAGCGGAGTTCTTTAACAAAGTATCCGTTCTCCATCTTCAATTTTATACACGACAATTCTCTCATTGCATTACTGTGAAAAGTCGGTCAATAGATAATGTTTTGATATGAGCCTGTTAGCGGAAATCACAATGTAATCTTAGAATATTCGTGGAATCAACGTGTACATCTATTTTTTACGTCTAAAAAAATCATTGAGTTTTCTGCGACGTCCGATCAATTTGCTTCACGTGCGACCCGACAGATTCCTGCTGCAATGTTTGGAGGATCTGGATTGTTCCCTGAGGAAACTGAACTCCCGGCTGTTTGTGATCCGGGGACAGCCGGCCGACGCACTCCCCAAGCTCTTCAAAGAATGGGGCACGACGAACCTGACTTTCGAGGAGGACCCGGAGCCGTTTGGCCGCGTGCGAGATCACAATATCTCGGCCCTCTGCAAGGAGCTCGGTATCTCGGTGGTCCAGAGAGTTTCGCACACTCTTTACAGATTGGACGAGTGAGTCCGAAACATTTTTTTAATTTCGATTTAAGGCTCATCGGGTTAATAATATAATTTAACGGCGTAGACTTAACGTGACAAGTGGTGAAGCAAGCAAACTGACTAGCTTGTAAATTTATAACGGTGCATTTTCTGAGATTTTCTGGGATTTTGTTGTTGCTGTTTACATAAATAGTTAAATTGATCAATTTACTTTCAGTTTTTATCTCTTTTTTATACGTATATGTAGTATTTTTAAATAGTGTGGAGTGTAATAAGCATTAATTGTTAATAGTTAGTGATTAATTCTATTGTTAACGATGTTGATACATTATTGAAATTTATTTAATCAGAATTAGCTCGTAGCTCCCCAGATAGGAAAATGTCTATTGTGTAATAATTGCATCATCCAAAGGAAAGAAATTTCGCAGCGGAAAAAAAACGCAGCGGTTTTGTAGGAACAAAATTTCTAAATAGTACTTGCTCAAAAATCGATGAACACAATTTAGGGTATAAATCACGCACAATTATTTCGACATCTAGAAGCGAAATTGCCCGGCAACACAGTGTTAAAATAAGTGTTTAAAAAATATTTAGCGTGGGACGTGTTTACCGCCGAGCCTGCTTTCATCTCGTCTCGCGTGAATTTACTTACGAGTGTGAGACGCCTCGTAGCGGCGGCTCGTCGTAACGCGACAGCAATTGAATTGTGCAAATATTCTGCCAAGAGGATTCGCCAAAACGCAGCTATTTTGCTGACACACTATTTAGAAATGCAAATATTTATCAATATTTGATGAAAGGTCTCCATTTCTGCATACGTAGTTTGCAGTATGTACGCGTAATTCCGTCATTCCAAGTGTCATCCAGATTCCGTCACACAGTTTGCTAAACATTTTCCTATCGGGGTCATGCGATCTGCAGAATCGTAACTGCGATTCGACTTTGGAATTATAAAAACTCTTTTTAACGAGACATTTATACACCCTTTAAGAGTTAGCTGTCAGCCAGCTACGCGCGCGTTTAAAATGGAGCCTTAGACTGTACCCATTAGGATTAAATATTACGTTGCAACTTCCGCCATTGTCCGCGAGCCATTTCGCGACTCCACCGTCGCGCGTTTCAGGATCATAGAGAGAAATGGCGGAAAACCGCCGTTGACCTACCATCAATTTCAAAACGTCGTCGCCGGCATGGACCCGCCGGAACCGCCGGTACCGACGGTGACTGCCGCCTGCATCGGCAGCGCCTATACGCCCCTAAAGAACGACCACGACGACCACTACGGAGTGCCCACCCTCGAAGAGCTCGGTGAGGAAAGATCGATTTTTTCCGAGCGGATTTTAACGTTTCAGAGTTTAGTTCGACATTCCACGTAACGACAGTGGCTTTTTTCCCGTAAACTCGAACGAACTTGGAAAAAAAAGATCGACTTTGACTCGGCCAAGACAGATTGTTGAAATTGAGGGGTTGCCGGTACGCTCTGGGCATAAACTAGGAACATCCGGCCGGGGCGTTGTTTCGCGGTGATATATCAGGTAATAACGAGATATGCATTTCGAATAGAATATCCCGGGCCGGGCAACTGCGGATTAAGCGCGAGTCCGTCGCGCTTGCCATGGAGAATTCATTCGCGGCAGATTAGTCGATGCAGCATTAATGCGCCGCCCGTAAGGGAGCAATTGGGTATTATTTCGCATAAGGTAATTCATCCCGCGTCGATGGCGCGTTGTAATCCGTAACGCTCAAACCGTATTACGTACTGCTCCGCGTCGCCCGAGAATACGAAGAGGTCCGATCGATTATTAATCACCCCGGCCGATTGTTCTTATTATTGAACGTCGGGCGTCTTAAAGTCTCCTCGGCGCGGCGCGATAGCCCATTACCGTTGATGTATGGCCCGCGCGATATCAGCCGGTGTCCCCTCACTTTCAAATGTCGCGAGTTATTCCGTCATCTCGCTCTTCTCATTGTTATCAAATGTCACGCGCGTATCCCGAAGGCTTTCCGGCCTTCTTCTCCTTGCGACTCTCCACAATGCCGATGCGAGGAGGCAAGAACGTCGAGCAACTTTGTGCTGTCCACGGAATGTCTACGACTCTTTAATTTTAGCGACAGATTCCTCGATCGATGTTACCAGTCGACTTTTTTTTAATAAGACTGCCGAGGCGTCATTCGAGCGCAGAGCAACCGAAAACACGGTGCCTTTTATGTAATAAGTTTTCCGCGACGCACAGTTAAGTAGCAATTCGTTGTTGTACACAATCAAATTTTTATTTTCGAAATTTCCATGTTTTAGTTAAAATTATGCGTCGAGACATTTGGCGTCATCGAATAAATTGCAATAAGTGAAGCTCGAAAGATCTCTTTACCAGAGATTCAAGCAGTCATAAAAAAATTTGCTTTTGAACGAAATCGAATTAGTGGACGCGAATTTCGCAGCGAGTCGATACGAAAATCAAAATGACGGAGGTAACAAAAAATCGAGTGAACTCGTCGAACTTGCGGGGAAAAATGGAATGCTACTTTGCCTCTGTACAAGCCCCCGGGTTTTTTATTACGGTTGTAGGCTTCGATACGGAAAATCTGCTGCCGCCGGTGTGGGTCGGCGGCGAGAGCGAGGCCCTGGCTAGGCTCGAACGTCACCTCGAGAGGAAGGCATGGGTGGCGAGCTTCGGCAGGCCGAAGATGACACCGCAGTCCTTATTACCGAGCCAGACCGGGCTCTCGCCCTACCTGCGATTCGGCTGTCTCAGCACGCGGCTGTTCTACTATCAGCTCACCGATCTGTACAAAAAGGTACGCGACCTGTTGGCGAGACGATAACGCGGGATGCTGTTTATCGTGAAATATGCCAGCAGCTTTCCCCGGGAGCTTCTCTCGCCCAAGTTTCCTTCTCCGCCGCTCCGAAACTTCGAGATAATAATTAAACGAAACTTCGGGGGACTCGTTAATTGCGCCGCGAGATTTTTATTTCCACGTGGAGTCGCGAAAGCTGTTCCCTACGAGAGGTTTCCCGGTTATGAGGGAATAATGTCCTCGCGTTGTTTCTCAGCGAGTATTATGTTAACGAGACTTTTTTTTCATCCTGTTTCCGCGCATTCTTTGTTCTTAAAGCGACGCTGTTACTATTATCGTTTTACCAAGACACCTTTCGTCTCTCAGCAGTTTTGGAAGCGAACGATCAGTTCGGCTTCCCCGGTAACGATACTGTTTCAGATAAAGAAAGCGGTGCCGCCGCTGTCGTTGCACGGGCAGCTTCTGTGGCGCGAGTTCTTTTACTGCGCCGCGACGAAGAATCCGAATTTCGATCGGATGCACGGCAATCCGATCTGCGTGCAAATACCGTGGGACAGGAACGTGGAGGCGCTCGCAAAATGGGCGAACGTGAGTGAGATCTCGCGCGATCGCAGACGGAGGTCGCCTTTGCTACGCAATTTCGCTCGCACCGCGTGGATCCAGCAAAGCGTTAATGAACAGTTGAAAAATTTTTGTGTTAATTTTTGTGTTAATTTAACATAATATGGATATGTTAAATGATCACACTAATACTCTGCTAATATTTTAACACAAAATAATTTGCCTCTATTTTGTGTGTACGGAACAATTATTTAATAAACTGAAAATATCGGTTGCATTAGGGAGATGATGCAAAAATTGGACTGAAAAAGATCCCCCGGGCGAAGGGAATCGTCTTGTGTAACGCTTCGTTTTTGTATTTATCGCGGCAGCGAAATTGCTGAGTTTCGAAGATTTTACGATCGTGCTAAAACCTCCCTCTTGCGCCAGGGTCAGACGGGATTTCCGTGGATTGATGCGATCATGACGCAGCTGCGGGAAGAGGGTTGGATACATCACCTGGCCAGACACGCGGTGGCTTGCTTCCTGACCAGGGGCGACCTTTGGATCTCATGGGAGGAAGGAATGAAGGTAAAATGTCACGGCATGTCTAGCATTTCAATCGACACGCGTTCAGTTTCTCTCTCTCTCTCTCTCTCCCTCTCTCTCTCTCTCTCTATCCATTTTGTTCTTATCATTAATATACAGACATCGTAAGAATATTTCTTGTTGCGAGATCCTTTTCCCGGAAATACGTGCGGTGCATCCGCTAATATAATATCTCTCCAGTTGGAAAATAAGTAAATAAACCGGTCGCTCTGCCAGAGCGTATACCCAACAATAAGTCATGTTCCATTCGCCGGAATAAGAAATGAAATTAACGAGATGTCCGTTTAATTATGTTAACTAAGGAGCGTTAAACGGCTAGATCCTAATGTTGAATAATCGCAAAGTTACTTCGCAATATTTACCGGCTGTCCTTCTACTTCGCATTGAAATCTAATGTCCTTCTTTGAGGTGTTCGACGAGCTTCTCTTAGACGCCGACTGGTCCGTCAATGCCGGCATGTGGATGTGGCTGTCGTGCAGCTCGTTCTTCCAGCAGTTTTTCCATTGCTACTGCCCCGTGCGATTCGGCCGGAAAGCGGACCCGAACGGCGACTATATCAAGTATATCGATTAAAACAAGTATTGAAAATATTGTTTTCGAAATGAAAAATGAAACGCGCGAGTGCGACGTACGCGCGGGAGATTCCGGAAAGAATTTCGGACGGGCGCGTCCAGCGGCCGGTTTTGCCCCCCCCCCCCGGCTATCGAAATAACGAAATTTACGCTAACGATCGCGTGCACGATGCTATCGGTGCAGTGATTAACGCTCGCGCGATGGCCGGACTAATGGAAATTTTAATCCTGATTGATCTTAATTTGTAACGTATCAGGCGTTAATCTGAGCGGAGCTGAATTCAGCCCCGCAAGATAGATGGAACGTTAAACAGCTCTTAGCTCCATTAGAGCTTAATCGTGCAAAAGATCACCGTGACGAATCGTCGGCGACGACAGCGTTCGACGATCAGACTGTCAATATTTTTGCAGAATAATGTATTCCCTCGACATTCTCGCGAGAACTCAAACAACCGCGGACGCGTTCTACTTATCTTCTCCGCTTTCCACTTCGTTTTCCCAAGTAATATTCGTAAATGATATCGCGTGCACGAGGGGCGTTCACGTATCAGCGATTGTTGTCTCGGGATAAAAGTCTATCCTTTTCCCGTGATCAGGCGCTACCTACCGGTGCTGAAGAACTTCCCGACCAGGTACATCCACGAGCCCTGGAACGCGCCGCTCAGCATACAGCACGCCGCCAAGTGCATCATCGGCAAGGAGTACTCGTTGCCGATGGTCAACCACAGCAAGAGCTCGCGCATCAACATCGAGCGGATGAAGCAGGTGTACCAGCAACTGAACAAGTATCGCGGTAACGGTGAGTAAAACTCGATTGACTCGGCGACACGCTGAACTTCGCCCCTCGATTCTTCCTTCCGGCGTGGTCTTCAATTCTGACCGGCACTGGTACGCGACTCCCTTTTGGGCTGCGTTCGGAAACATCACCCGAGTGCCCCAGTGTGTCATTTTATTTAACATACGGCGAGCAACAAGAATAGAATGGTACGCTGGGGCAGATACTTGGGTGTTTCTGAATGCAGCCTTGGCGAGAACCCCGAGTTATATTTTTTTAAGTGACGATTAACCGACATTTGTTTTTCGCTAGGAACCTCGTTCAAGGGAGAGAACATCGGTGAGTAAACTTTCGATTGGTAATGTGATTAATTATCGCGTCGCGGCAGATGCACGGATAGGAAAGTGTAGCCGAAAACTGCACGTGGCAACTAGATTTCAGTCGTAAAATACGAACGGCTAATATTTAATGGTGACAACTAAATATCTGGCTATTAGGTGCGACAGCAAACAGTTTGCCGTGCTTTGGAAATTTACGGCTACGGCAGGAAAATATTTTTAGCAAACCACCATTAGCTACGGCAGCGAAACTATTTTACAGCGTACGATGTTAGAATAATGAATATTAATAATGTGATGTGCGAGTGATACGCGTGGCTTGTTCAAGGCTTGCTGAACGCATTGCTGGCACCGCCGGCAAAGGACAGCGACGAGGAGAAGAGGAAGCAGGACTCGTCGAATCGGGAGAACGAGCAGAAAATGGAGACCATCAGCAGTCCCACGCAACAGCAACAGCAATAGCAGCGGCAGAGGTAGTAGCGACAGTCGGTATAGCGATCTGGCTAATTCGTTAACGTGATAACGCTATTCTTTTATGGATCTTAAAAGCGACAAAATTCCAAACGAGTTCTACATCTAATCATTTTTCTCGACTGGCCCTAACCAGCCCCGAACACCGGCTGTAATGATCGACATAATCGGTGCCTTTTTTATCTCGATTTACTCCTCAGTGTCATCGGGTATTAGTCGCCGCGTGTAGCAAATTCTACAAGTCATGTCGACGTATTGATATTAGGTATGTGTAAAATTTTTATACTTTTCGCGACTCCGAGCGACAGTTGTTGAAAGGTAGTGGAAAATTCGATATCAAATATCCGCAGACCCGCGACGAGGGACCGCGCTATTTTTTTAACATTTGCGGAGAGTGCGATAGGCGTTTTAGCGGCGGGCCGTCTTGGCGGGCGTGTTACTAGAGCGAATCTAACGTTCGTTGAGACGAGAGAGTGTCCGTTAATTCGTACTCCGTCACACATGTTATATGTGCAACTTTAACAATGCTTCCCGCGACGTATCGATTAACAACTGTACCGTCTAGATTTTTTATGGCTGTAAAACACGATTGTAAATAACGAATAAAAACGTACGTTTCACAGGACATTATCCGTGCGGCGACGTCACTTACCTTTCTCCAGGGCGTCGTCCCTTTCCCGTTGAGCGCCGCGCGTCCCCGGCGCAACTTTAGATAACCGGACAACGGATAAGCGCGCGCGGAAAACGTAACGGAGACACATCGCCCGTGTAATCGCAGCGCTGGAATGAACTTCGGTCGACTTGACAAAATGAACATTTAATGGTCTAATCTGTCACACTTTGCGCTTTAATGGTACCTCAATCCGGAGATCCTCGATGCAGCTCGACGGGTACCGCCTTTCTGCTACAAAAAGTTGATAACACGGTTTGTCACGGCTATTGTGTATATCACTATTGCCCACGCGCTTATAACGCTAGACTGAAGCTCGATGCACGCACTCGTCGTTTCGAGACTCGCCTAATTGAAACGTTCACGACGATCCGTCACGCGACGGTGCGCTCTTCCGTTTACAAACGGGCACGGTACAACGCATCGCGCGTTCTAACTCGCGGCTTCGTTATCATATAAGAAGGGAGGAACGAAAAGAGAGAGAAAAAAAAAGGAATATACAATAATGAAACACACGGGACTCGTATACGCACACGCAATATGCAATATCGCAATTACGCGTATATGTTTTTGCCGGGATGCGCGTATACCTCTCTCTCTTTCTCTTGCTCGCTCTCTTTCCCTCTCTCTCTCTCTCTCTCTCTCTCTCTCTCTCTCTCTCTCTCTCTCTCTCTCTCTCTCGCTCTCGCTCTCTCGCTCTCTCGTCGACGCCGGCGGACAGAACTCATGCCACACAGTCGGTTTTTCTTTATTTTTTTCATGTCAACAAATGATATATTTTAGTGCCTATAGTACTTATGGTTTTACAGTACATTTCTCATTAGATTTAAACAATTACAAATGAACATTCCCAACACTCAAAAACGGAACTAATGTTTCTCACGCATCATCTCGCTCTCTCTCTCTCTTTCTTCACGCACTCGCGCTTTCACTTTTCTCTCATTTTCTCCTTCATTCTCTCGGCTCTCTCTCTCTCTCTCTCTCTCTCTCTCTCTCTCTCTCTCTCTCTCTCTCTCTCGCTCGCTCGCTCGCTCGCTCTCGTGCACTCTTTCTCGGTTAACTTATTTTGTGTCACGTGTGTCTTACAAACGCTTATATACTTGTATGGCCTCTTTGCGATAAAAGATCGAAGATTTTTTTTTCTTCTTTGCGAGCTCTCGCGGTCGCAGTAATAAATTCTCCATACGTCTCTCTAATAATAATCGGGACAATATTTAATTGTAATCGTTAATAATAATTAATCGTGTTATTATTCATCATGTGTGGTAGTAACATCATCGTCACGGCGTTCGCGCGTCGCGCACCCAAAATTATTTTATCTATACACCTTACGACGCCGTATTTTTTTTTTTGCTTACGTAAATATCTCTATGCATACCGACGCCGGCTGCGGTCTCCATCTTTTCTCTTTACGTTTATTACTCGTCGCTAATTTTACACTCTATCGCCGCGGAACACCGAAAAAATACCAGCGCGTACAATACACCACGAATTTCGGACACCTGCCCCCCCCCTCTCTCTCTCTCGCTCTCTCTTTTCTATCGAGGAAAAGAATGTTTGTCTCACCTCGGAAATTCGTAATTCTCGGACGTCGATTACGACGTGTGCGCAAATAACTTCTGTGTGAGGCATTAAGGTTGCGAGACCTAGGAATCCGAGGATAAGAAACATATCGAAAACGTCCATCACCACCGTCCATTAACGATCTATTTGTATCCTTGGACTTTGAAATACCGGGAGACTTGAGAATCTCACGGGTCGAAAATGTTCAGGGTTTAGATATTCCAGAACCGCCGGGGAGATCCCAAAATCGGATCGACACGATAATTAATTTCCGTCGTACCTCGAGATTTCAGAGTCCAAGGACCTTAAGGACCCAAAGGCTCGAGCATCCAAGCATTCAGAAATTTCGCGACTCGAGAATCGACGATTCCCGGGATTCGAGGATCCGAAGAGGTCCGAGAGTTCAATGCGGTTTCTAGAATCCGAGGATTCGCGAATTTGCGCAACCGAAGGATCGACGATCAGGATTCAGTTCTTAAGAGACAGGCGTGGGACAACGCTTCTGTCCCGGTTCTTTTCATCTTTTTTTAAATACGGTATATTGTACGAAAGTACGCGCGTCTGCACTTCTCTAATTAACTCCTCGTTATCACAACAAAAGTGCAGTGCAGAGCTCGGGGCGTCGATGATCTCTCTCTCTCTCTCTCTCGCGCGCACCGGAAAATTCGATTTATTTATTCACCGCAACGTTGCATCGTGGTGGACCGATCGCGACGCAGCCTCCAATTTAGAATACACATTTAGGACGAGACCTTTGGCTTGGACCGGCGCGCCCGTCGTTTGCGGCTCTGTACACAACCTTTCACGTATCCATCCTCTCTCGCATCCTCTCTTTTTCCGCTCGAGATTAGCAATTAGTGATAACAACTATATCAGCTAATCGACTATTCATTTCCGCAGTTTTACCGTCGACTACTTCTTCGTTTTTCCGTCAATCGCATGCGCTAATTAACGCGGTCTAGCGTGAATCATGGACTTATCATCCTCGGTTCAAGCGAACGGTTTTTGAGGAGCGTCGCGCGAATCCGGAACGAGGGTCGAAGAAGGGAAAACTCCCTCTTTCTCTACACGTGTCTCGATCGTTGACAATCGCCGGCTCGGCTGACGATACCTTACGCGGGTTAAGGTAAAAAGGACGATGATGATCCACTAGAGACTCTTCGTCCTCAATTCACTAGACATATGCCCTCTCGCGACACTCTCGCACCGCGCGTGAAAGCTATCGAATAGCATTTCGCTTTCTCCCGCCGGCATTATCGTGGACTCGTCGCGAGAGACAATTCGTAGGAGTCGCGAACGATCGATTCGCGAATGTAGCGGCTCGCGATATTAAATCGGAGGAGGGGAAGAAGGACACAGAGTGCGAGAGATTCTCCGTGGGAATCCTAGATCTTCACGAGACCTGGGGAGCCACGAAGCGCTCTTTAAACTCGCATGTAAACGCGTATCTACGGGAGAAAGGTGGAAAGGTCGACCCAAATTATCCATCATTTCGGCATTAGATGCAGTCAATGCGACAGAGACATTTTTCTAGAGAGATACTCTCCTGGGAAAGCCACTCAAAAATCATATCACGCGGCAAAATCGCTATTTAGAAACGGTTGACAGCCGTTCGCCTCGCTGGCCGCGCGTTTCGCTGGTTTCGGCGATCGCGTTATTCTTTTGCAATGCACGAAGGACCGCGCTTTTAATATTCGACACCTCGGCACACCGAGACATTTGCGAAATCGGGATATTCCGCGGCAACGGGCGACCCCGTTGCCTCGCGCAGGATCGAGCGCTCGCCGATTTACTCCAGTTACTCCAAGCGACAATTAATTATCCGATCCGCGCGGACATCAGACTGTTAATAAATCAATCGTGTTAATAAAATAATCCCAATAAAAAAACCATCCCACCGAAACCTGCGGCGACTCGATGAGCGGCAATGACCGATAAATCCGCACAGAAAAAAAAAGAAGTGTCAGATCAATTCAAATTAACGCGACATTGTTTTGTATATATGCAACAATCTAGAATCTTCTTAGAAGCGTTTAATAATCTTACATTCCAACAATATTACAGTCTTACTTAACTACTATAATTGCCACTTTAAGAATACATATAATTATTTCGCAATAAAATCGTTTAAGTTATTATAATCTTCGATTTGAAAATACGTTATCTTCTATCCATTGTTTCCTTCCTATTCAGGAAAATTATTCTTAAATAATAAGCATATATTTTTCTTGATCGAATCACATAAAATTGCTTCGTTCAAGTAAGTTTTCCTTCCTTTAACGCAACATAATTTTATTTCAAGATTTTCACGTTGAAACTGAACATATTTTCAAAAGAAGAATATCCTTTTTTTTCTGTGCTGTCGTTCGTTCTAAAATCGGCGCGAATCTCCGGAGGATCTTTGCTTCATTACGAAATTTCGTCGCCGCGCCTGTTAAAGGCCGTGTCCACGATGCTGGAACTTGCTCCAAGTTCCAGTTTCGGGAAATGTGTCGCCAATCAATTCGCAGCTATTCCACAAAAGCTGCAAGTTGATTGGCTACACGTTTCTCGAAACTGGAACCTGGACCAAGATCGTGGACACAGGCCTTTCGACGCTTGACTCGCGTTACTTAAGAAATAAACGACAGCGCTTTTCTTGGCGATATTATCGTTTCGCGACAACACAGGCGCCATTAATCATTTCAGATATTTCCCAAGCGATCAGCTTCTCTGTTGATCGAGCATCATTCAGCGACGGTATCGCTAGCCGGCCTGGTTCTAACAAATCAGGTTACGGTGACTCGGGTTTCAGAGTGGCCGATACTGCGCCGGTATATCGCTATTCCGCGCTGGCCGTTACGGAATTCCCGGAGAAAATTTCCCGCTCGTGAGATCGCGGCGATAATCTCGCCGCACGGCGACGAGTACGGCCACGCGAATTGGCTCGTTATAGGTCAAGGAGGCACCGATCGTCCGGGGCTCTCTAGCGCCGTGTATACGCCTCATTTACCCGCCGCCGACGTGACTTCCGGCGAGATTCAACGGCCGTGGCAAAGTGTCACGGCGGCCCGTTTCCGCACGGCGGCCTTATCGCCCCTTGGCGGAAAATCGTCGTGTTGCACCCGGGGCTCGGGAGGCGTCGACGTGTATAAAGGCCTGGCGTCCACGATGCTGGAACTTGGTCCAAGTTCCAGCCCCAAGAAATGTGTAGCCAATAAACTTGCAGCTTCTATGGAATAGCAGCAAGTTTTATGGAATAGCTGCAGCTTTTATGGAACAGCTGCAAGTTGACTGGCTGCGCATTTCTCAAAGCTAGAACGTGGGACACGGCTCTTGGATCGTGGACACAAGGCTTAACGAGCGTAAATCGGAAATATCCCGCTCTCCGGAGGTGGATGGCAAAAAGTGGG